AAAAATAAAGAAAAGGAATTAAAGTAATGAAGATAAGACTGAGACAAAAGAAGCCACTTAAATTGTTCCTAAGCCATGCGCATATGACACTAGGTCAATAAGCTACACCAAGACCTGTAAATCACTGTCCCTCAGCTCTATGGCATTTCATGCTACTTGGTTAAGCTAAATCTTGAATTCATGAACTCGTAGGGCCATACATGAGTCACAAACCTCTGGCTCTTTCAAATGATTAGATGCAGAGCTATGGCTCTTTCAAATGTCAAAAGATCAAATAATGATGAGTGGTTCCTTAATTCTTGGAGGCTTCCAAGAAGTATCCTCACATATTGAGGTGTTTCTGTGTTGTGTGGGTTGAGTGGCTGTGAGTATATATTGAGTGGTTCATTGTTCAGGGTTGTGAGTTCTCTAAACTAAGGGTCGAGTGATGAGAGTTCATATGGAGTGTTTTATTTCTATTAATGTCTGTTCTTTTGTAGGATTTGTTGGATGTGAAGAATTTAGGTTCACTAAAAATGTGGGTTGAGTGTTATGAGACCATATATATGTGGGTTTTTACTAACACTTTTGTCTATATTAAGTGGAATCTGTTTTGCAGGTGCAAGGAGATACAGAGCATGAGTATTGTGAGGTTACTAAATGTGGGTTGAGTGGTGTGAGTAAAAAATTGTGTGGAGCCTTCCCCTTTACCTGTTTATTGATGAGTGAGCTCAACTAATTCCTCTCTAATCTTGTTCCTTCTTCCTATTTATTTTGTTAAATACGTACTTGTGCATTACTCTCAGATGCAAGGACATACAAATGATTTCAAATAAAAGTAAGGAATTGATATTAATGGAGAGTACTCACCTCCGAATTTCAGCAAGATCACCAGTGAGCTCATAACTGAGAGAGTAATAGAAGTAGAGTCTCGCAGCCAGAACATCAATGGTTTGCCTATTTAAGTTTTTCAAACGGGTAATACTTGCTGAGGAACAACTTTAGCCTGGAGAGCAGTAGCAATAAGCAATAATGTGATTTAACAAACATTATCAATCGAGTAAAGAATAACACAACACTTGACGTGAGCATAATTTGCCAGCTTTTCCAATATTCTTACAATATACCAGCATTAACAAGACCACTCTTTGTAGAACCGTAGAAAGGAATACAGCCGACAACCAATATATATAAGCTTCTGGTGCCTTGAGCTAAATTTGCCATATCTAATTGTTTTATTTTTTTTTTGATGAATAAGTCATAAATTAAACAACAAAAAAACTACAAGGGGTATACCCCAAGAGCTAACCAACTATACAGGGACACAGCAACCAACAAAACAAAAAAAAAAAAAAAAAAAACAAGAACACACTAGAAAAAGAACCATCATGTTCAAACAACACATGAGCAAGATGCAAATAAGGGGCAAGAACAAGGCGAACAAAAAGCCTTAGAACAACATAACCTGGGCACAACTTAACCACTAAAAAGATCCAAAATAACAAAAACCAGAACAAAACCCAAAAAAGGCAACAGCAAAGAACACAGCAACACCAGCAGGAACCAGCAACCAGGCAACAACAAAGGTAACAGAAAAGAACCAGCATACAAACAGCCAACTCTTCAACACAGTGACATATACAACCAGCAGCAAAAACAAGAGCTTCAACAATCAACAATTGGGACAAGATCCATCAAAATGGATTACTTGCTCCAGGCCATCATTCTGTTAAATGATCCTAAGAGAGCCAAGCAATCAACATATTAATAGGACAATTCAACAATAGGTAACTGCAAGACTCGCATAAAACTGGCTAATATCAATCAACCCACAGACAACACTCAACTCACACCAAGCAGTCAACTACTGAAAGAGAAAAAACTATACAACAATATACGCCTCAATCACTCAACCCTCAAATAAACAATTCCCCTAAAATAGACCAGCTGAAAACCTGCAAATAAACAGCAGAAAGTCAAGTCTAGGTTCTCACCAAACTCAACCCATAGAATCACAATAAACCCTCCTCGCTCACAGTCCTAGTATGGGAACAGTTAGCATCTGTCAAATTACATTTTCTATGTTTCATCAACTAGGCATATTCCATACAAGAATTGAGCCCAAATGGCAAGGATCTATTACTGCATTAATACCATAACTTGTCCAAACCAGATTACTTACTGAGATCAATTTTTTTACTACTCAATCCAATTTGCTTATCACCATCTCCTTCTTGTTCAGTCTTCTAATCATCATAACCAAAATTTCTAACCCACTAAGTCAAACTCATCATCTATTAAGGCTATTTTGGGAAGTTACAATTTTAGCCACAAAAAAAAAAAGAAGAGCTTTTCGTAAATACCCAAAAACTACTAAGAGAGTCAATTCCCAAAACAACCATAAATCCTTATTCAAAACTCTTAATTCATATCTGTAACAAAACCAACTTGACCCAATTGCTTAATCGGGCACCCCCCCCGGAAGATCATGAAAGTAGAGAGATGACACTCACAATTTCTCACGGAGCTGTGGGGTGTCCTTGGGGGTTCCAAGGGTATTGACAAGCCTATAAGATTATTTATTTTTTATTATTTGAAGAAGAAACAAGACATCACATCATTTACAGATTCTTTGGCTTTGATGTTGTAACTATTTATCCTTCACTGCAATGATCACATATAATGTAACATGCCAAGTGAAACATCTAGTGCAACCACTTCATTCCAGATTACAAGCATAAATTTGGCATTTCTCTGTTTAGTCTGTTTGGAGATATCAAATCAGCATTCGATTAAAAAAAATATAAACCATGCATCCCAGTAAGAATACTGATTAGAATAACTTACAATGTTTTAAGTGTAGCCAATTCACCAATGTAATCTGGGATTGGACCAGTAATTAGGCAATTTACTAAATATGATAAAAGTAATTACAAATGTAAATAAGTCCTCACAACTCGGTTATGTTTTTCAGCTGGGATATGGTAGAAGGAATGGGGCCATCCATGGATGTGCCTTGCATGTGCCTGAAACAGATTATTTAACAATTATTTGAGATGTTCTTAGGTAAAATTAAAAAATTAAGAGAAAGCTTGTTAGAATTCCATAGGCAGGGAAAAGATTGCTAATGCATGGAACTACTAATGATACTCACAGTGTTTTAATTTTTGTCCAGTTCCCAATCAGATCAGGTATCTTCCCAGATAGTACACTCTCATCTATCCTACTGCAATTAGTTGAAGAAGTTTTAGATTTACTAAAATTCAAGACTAATAAATGTCAAAATAATTACCACTTACAAATCTGTCAAGTTCTTCAATTTGCTGAATGTGTCTGGAATTGTTCCAGTAAAATTGTTGGCAGAAAGAAAGCTGCAGAAAACTATCCATTATAAATTCCCTTGAAACAACATGAGAACGATAGCACTAGTAGTGGCAATGTTAACATCATTTTGTCGCACTCAACTCAACATACAAAGATACCCAAAAGACAATGTTCAATGCATGTAAGAGATGTTTGACACTGCAATCTTAGACAAAGACTACCATATATATTGGGACAATTATAAACATACATAAAATTCATACAAAAAACTTGATAAGAATGATATGGCAATGCGATTATTATAAATAAATCCATCTTCAATGGTGTTTTGTTTTGAAGTGAAAGGTCTACAATGAGTCACATCATTATATATGAATTTTTTGTTTGTATAGCATTACTCTATATATTGATAGACATAATGATTGAATGTTGGACAAGGCAAGAAATGCATCAACAATAATCACGATGCTTTTAAATTCAAAATAGCCATGCTCTCTTTCAATGTAGCTTAAAAAGATCACAAAATTTTTTATAATAAAAATAAAAAAATAAAAAAAAAAGCCTTATGGAAACAGTACTGGGAAGTTAAAAAAGCAAGTTCTCATGGCACTTCTCATCCAATATTTGAAGGTCACAGCTGGACAGGATCATGCATACGAAACCCTTCCTGATCACACAGCTGTTTTTCAACACATTAATACTCTATCTCCAACCAGAAAAGCATTTTAGATAAGAAGCTTTGGCAATGATAGCACCACCATGTAATTCGGTATATTCAAGTGTATACTTTAGAAGAAAGTATTAAGTTTAAAACAAAAAGAAAGAACTTTCTTACAGCCTCCTCATGCAGCTCAAATTTCCAAGGTTTTGATGAAGAGGTCCTCCAAGCTGTTTATCTTCCAAGACCCTGTATAAGATAGTTCACGTTAAAATCAAGGTCAGGCTTCATTTATTAGTCCAGTAGACAGAACAGTATCCATGACTTACAGCTCCTCAAGAGTAGCAATGTCTTTGATTTGATTTCCTTTGGAATTGAACCATTAATGCGGTTTCCTAAAAGGGACCTTGCCTTTTGTTTATGATCAAACTCCCTTTTGACAAGTAACAAAGCAATTACCCACTTCTTGAGTGCATAACTTAAATTAGTTAATAACGTTCTATAAAGCTTTATTGGATCTTGACAATTCTATTTTTGAAGAAGTTTCCACAGCCATCTGTGTTTTCTTTTTTGTTTCAAAAATAAAATTAAAAAGAAAAATCTGCACCTGAATCTCAAATGAGAAAGGAAGCCCATTGGCAAAGTTTGAAGAATAGTCTATGGCTGAAGGAGAAGCACGACATTATTGAGCTGGTACTTTCTTGAAGACAGCTCGGTTGTATTGGACTATTTGACAATTTTATACAGGAATACAGGAATTATTATAGAGCTATTTGATTGGGTTTATATGTATATGTGCCATATTGGAAATTATCAGGAACAAGTTTGTCATCTTTTCACATTGGAATTGTTAAGGCAATATTATGCTTCAAATTTTCTTTCTGAGGCGTAAAAGAAAGCAATATAAATGCTTTGCCTTTTTCTGTTTTAGCAAATTTCTAAGATGAAAGATGTCCTGTTGTCTTCCATTCTTTAGTTAAAGGATATCATTAGAATAAGGTTAAAAAATTTCAGCAAAACTTGGAAGTTCCAAGCTTCCATTTTGTCTACCTTATACCACTGCCAGTGTAAGCCAAGTGGTTACCTGGTTTGGCCACTTAACCTTGATTTCTGGGGAAAGATGAAAAAATTGTCGGTGTTTGTCAGGTCATACACTAAGGTTTTTAGTATGTGGGTCATGTTTCTGGTTAAAAATTATGAAACAACAGTGTAATTTTTAAATTGTGTGCTCACCAAACTAAATGAAACTGTTGCCTTTTTTTTTCTTCACAAAATTAACATAAACTATCATTACATATAGCACCTTTCATCTGTATACAGTGGAATATAGTTCTACATTCTAAATTACTGCAACACTGCTGTCACAACTGTGTTTGTCTTTCAAGATTTCCCTGTGTGCTGTGTTTCACTTTCATTCTATATGATGGTTTGTGCATTTATGATTCCTATTGCCGGAAGATGATTCGTAATAGAACCCAATTTCTTTAGATTCAACAAATTTATATTTAAAAAAAAAAATGTGTTCAACCCATGAACCTAATTTCACATTCAGGTTTTAATTTTTCCAATTCAGATTCAGATATTTTCCCCAACTCGCATTCAAGAAATTTAAAAATAAAAAAAATAAAAAAATAATTTCACAACCTGAAACACAATTCTAATTTTTTATTTGCTTAATCAAAACCCTAATTTTTTCGTGTGTGTGTGTGTGTGTGTGTGTGTGTGAGAGAGAGAGAGAGAGAGAGAGAGAGAGAGAGAGAGAGAGACCTTAAACAGAGTGGTAGCATAAATAATGCAGTTCCTCATCCTTCCCTAAGTGGTTATACAAATCTCATTCTTAATCGGCGTCTTTGGCCACGGTTTCTCTACCCTCTAATACTGATCCATCTAAACACAAAAAACCCAAAATCAAAAACACAATTTTTTCTCCAAAAAATCAAAAACACAACAAGAACAACAAAAGGGTACACAAAAATTAGATCTGAAGAAGGGAATAGGAAGAGGGGTAACCGTGATGAGTGTTGAGTGAGTTCGGAACGGGTAAAAGGTAATGGAAGTCTCTGAAAACCAGCTCTCGCCTTTTGCTAGTCTCCATGGCAGCTCTAGATCGATGAATTTGGTGAGAGAAGAGCCATGGCCGTTGTGGGTTGTAGAGAGAGAAATTGGAGGAGAGAGTGAGAGAGAGTGAGAATATGATTTAAGGGTTTGAAATGGAAGTGTGGTGGAGGAGTAGAGATTTAGGGTTTGAAATGGAAGAGTGTGGTGGAGTAGAGAGCAGTAGTAACTTCTGCAGATCACTGAGCTTTTAGCATTCGTGTAGAGAGAGACAACTACGCCAATTCGAAGATTATTTCATTTTACATTTGGCGCCAGAGTATTTTACTTTTGGTGCCTATTTTTATTTTGGTCATATTATTCACGACAGGAATTACATGGCGTAAAAAGTAAAATATTTTTAACAGTTAGTATATGTGCATCGTGAAAGTATATTTTTTAATGATTGACTTTTTGTGTGTCGTAAAAAGTGTAATATTTTTAACGACTGACTTTTTGTGCACCATAAAATGTTTAATATTTTTAACAACTGGTACGCGTGTTGTATCAATCAGTTAAAAAAAACAATAACAAAATGAACAAACAATAAGAACAATGATAAATAATCTACCAATTACACTGTGAATCTCCCTCACACCACATTTTCCAGAACAAGTGTAAGTGTTGGTGCAGTGTCTGTGCAAATGCATATCTATATATATACATACAGCCTAATATATATAATCTAGGGTTTTAATAAATCGTGTCTCTGTGACGAAATTTGTCGTATATTTGCAAATACCTGGTTTCAACATATTAGAGGAGGAACAACAAAAAAATTATTTTCATTGCAGAGACATGTATTCGGATTCAACACAACGAGTGAACATTTTTCAGCTGATAAAAGTCAATGGCAAGAGGAAATAGTGGAATGACAGAAGAGAATGTTACCTGGATAAAACAGAGAGAGAGAGAGAGAGAGACTGCGAGCTGTGCAATGGCGAACGGCTAGGGCTCGTTTGCCCTTTCGGCTGCTCCTCCGCCGCTCGCCGTCGATTGAGAGAGAGAGGGAGGGGGGTAAGATGAGATCTACACTAATTTAATAAGATTATTAATACCTCACTATTAATCTTGTGAAATCAAATATGGCCAAAGGGTGTTACACAATCATGCCAAATATGGTAGTCTTGTAATTGGATTGAATGTCTTACGTTATTATTGCTTATTTGACCATTTACTGCATTGAAATTTCATAAATACACACATGAATAAAAAAATAAATTTTTTTTGGTCAGAAATGAAATTTAAATAATAAAATAATGTCATTTAATTTTTTTTTTTTTTTTTGGCGACGGGGTTGACGTTGTCAAAAAAATTTATTATTTGTTAAAATATATATTTTTTGTAGTTAATGAATTTTTTTTTGTAGATGAGAGGGAGTGACAGTAGTGGAGAAGGTAGTGGATAAGAGATGGTGGTGGTGGTGGTGGTGGTGACGGCGGCGAAGGAGATTAGTGGTGAAGTTGTGGTAGTAGTAGAGTAGATGAAGTGGCAAGGGGGAAGGAGAGGTAATGGTAGTAGTAGTGGCAGTAGTGGTGAAGGTGGTGGATAAGAGATGATGGTGGTGGTGGCGGTGGTGGCGGTGGTGGCGGCAGTGGCGAAGGAGATTAGTGGTGAAGTTATGGTAGTGGTAGAGTAGATGAAGTGGCAGGGGTGAAGGAGAGGTAATGGTAGTATTAGTGGCAGTAGTGGTAGTGGTGGCAATGGTAGTAGTAATGGTAGTCGTAGAGGTGAAGTGGCGACAGTGGTAGTAATGGTGGTAGTGGAATGACGTTTGCAGTAGTGGTGGAGGTGGTAAAGGAGATAGGTGGTGAGAGACAGAGAAATGAGTGAGAGACACATAGAGGAGAGAAAGAGAGAGAGAGAGAGAGAGAGAGAGAGAGAGAGAGAGAGAGAAAGACAGAGTGATGAGCGAGAGAGAGACAAAGTGGTCGCTAAAAGTGCATTTTCTTGTAGTGGATAGATAAATCGAGAGGGAGCTCAGTAAATAGAGAAGACAGAAGGGAGAGAGTGAGCAACGCGAACATAGTGGCAGAGAGAGAGAAAGAGAAAGAGAAGAGAGAGAGAGGGACAAAAAGATAAAGAGATAGAGAATGAGAGAGAGAAAAAGAGACAGGGAGAGAAGAGAGATGAACGAGAAAGAGATAGAGAGAAGAGAGATGAGCGAGAGAGACATAGAGAGAAGAGAGATGATCGAGAGAGATGAAAGAGATAAAGAGAAGAGAGATGAGCGAAAGAGACAGGGAGAGAAAAGAGATGAGAGAAGAGATAGATGAGTGAGAGACACATTGAGGAGAGAATGAGAGAGACAGAGAGAGAAAGAGAAAGACAGAGTGATGAGCGAGAGAGAGACAAAGTGGTTGCTAAAAGTGCATTTTCTTGTAGTGGATAGATAAATCGAGAGAGAGCTCAGTAAATAGAGAAGACAGAAGGGAGAGAGTGAGCAACGCGAACATAGTGGCAGAGAGAGAGAAAAAGAAAGAGAAGAGAGAGAGAGAGAGGGACAAAAAGATAAAGAGATAGAGAATGAGAGAGAGAAAAAGAGACAGAGAGAGAAGAGAGATGAACGAGAGAGAGAGATAGAGAGAAGAGAGATGAGCGAGAGAGACATAGAGAGAAGAGAGATGATCGAGAGAGACAGAGAGAGATGAAAGAGATAGAGAGAAGAGAGATGAGCGAAAGAGACAAGGAGAGAAAAGAGATGAGAGAAGAGATAGATGAGTGAGAGACACAGAGAGAGAGAGAGACAGATAGACAGAAAGAAAAGAGTGATGAGTGAGAGAGAGAAAGAGAAGAGAGAGAGAGGAAGATGAAAAAATGGGTGAAAAGATATAGACAAAGAGAGAGAGAGAGAGAGGGCGAAAAGTGATAAACGAGAGAGAGACAGAGAGAGATGAGCGAGAGAGATAAAGAGAAGAGAGATAGAGAAGAGAGACAGAGAGAGATGAGAGAGATAGAAAGGAGAGAGATGAGCGAAGAGACAGGGAGAGAAAAGAGATGAGAGAAGAGATAGATGAGTGAGAGACACAGAGAGACA